GGCGCTGGTGCTCAGTGCAGATGTCCGTCTCGTGTCTCTGAGCAGTTCCCCGGTCCAGGCTAGAACCCACGTGCCCTGCACAGCACCAGATCACTGGGTGTGTTTCCGAAGCCAAGTCCCATCACTGTCTGCTCTCCCAGAGGCTGCTGGGTAATTGGTCAATATGGTTCCCCAAACCAGGTCCCCATAAAATACTGGTCTCCTCTGATACCTAATACTGAGTAATGGATTTCTTTCCCCCAGTTTCCAAGCAAACTTTGCAAAAGCATAGTATGTTCTGAATTGTACATTTTTCTTCCATGAATTTCTTCTTATTCCTTTGGAGCTTGCTTCTGTTCACCAGCTGGTTGGTGACAGTAATGGCAAAACAACTGAACAATGAGTTTTGACAGAAAAACTTGGAGATGTGAGATCTTTCACATAGTATGTATTACATCTTGAGATACAGGGAGATCTAGCTATAATATATATATGTATTATAATATGTATTATATAATAATAATAGTCTATTATGTGTATATATAATATGTATTATAATACATACATATATTATATAATAGAATAATTATATTATTTCTACTGGTGAAATTGTTCCTAGTTTGTAATGATAAAGTTAAAGCGATCTCTCTTATTAGTGTTCATGGTTTGCATGTGTTCTGCCCACTAAACAAATTTTAAAATGAAAAGATGTTCAAAATCAGACTGGGCAGAACTAGACAATTCTAATAAAAATAGCAAATATTTATTATATGGCTTACTACGTTCTAGGCACTGTCCTTTGCACTTTTGATACACTTGATCTCATTTAAATCTCACAATGACCCTATGAGGTAGATACTATTATTCTACCCATTTTACAGATGATGAAACAGAGGCTGAGAGAGATTAGGAGTCACAGTCGATAACCAATAGAGATGGACATTGAATGAGCCCAGTCTGACCCCAGGACAATGCTTCTTTCTCTCCAGGCTGAAGGGGAAATAAAGAAGGAAAAGGAGAGGAAGGAAGAATACGAATACAAACACTCCGGAAGTTCATCCTCTTTTTCAATGTGTAGGACTTTCTCCCTTACCAGAGGCTTACCTCTCTTTCTTTTATTGGAGGATAATTGCTTTACAATGCTGTGGTGGTCTCTGCCGTATATCAGTATGACTCAGTCCTAATTATATATATACATCCCCTCCTTCTTTAGCTTCCCTCCCCAACCCCTCGCCACCTCCCCAGGTCATCATAGAGCACCAGGCCAGGCTCCCTGTGTTACATAGCAGCTTTCCACTAGTTATCTCTTACACATGATAGTGTGTATATGTCAATTCTACTTTCTCAATTTGTCCTACCCTCTCCTTCCCCCACTGTGTCCTTCTTCTCTACCATGAAGCTAGTGTATGGTATAATATGATGAGCACTGGGTCAGAACTCAAAAGATGGCTAAACTGCCCATCAAAATGCTATCTGCCTCACAGGGTTGAGGTTCAAACAAGACTTGAGTGGGGAAAAGGCTTTGAAGGCTGTGTATGCACTTGCAGTTTACTAGAGGCAATGCATCCTGGTGGGTTGGTCCCAGAAGGCCCAGGGTCGGAAGGCAAGTGTCTTAGGTCACCTGGGCCTTTGGACAGCCCTTTGTGACACATTTTCAGCTAGGCTCTGCGGGCAGGCTGAATTCCAGGCCACATGCAGTGATTTTAAAGGAGCTAAACCCTCTGCAATCATACCCACCGTGGCCTAATTCTGGTGTTACCAGCCTTGCCCACCACCTTGTTCCCCTGTGGTGTGAACCCACTCAGCATCGGGACCTAATTCCTTTGCATGGCCCGCCTGTGAGGTATCCTGGAAGAAGAGTCTCCAGGCAGAGGAAGGGCCTCCTGGCCTTACATAACCAGTATTGAGCACCGGGTGCCAATTCCCAATAATCTCACAGTGCTGAGGGAACAACAGCCAGGGGTCATGTGGAGACACATTCCAAATAGCAACCATGCCGAGGAAAAATTGATTCCTCCACCTCTTTTCATTTATGAATTCAGTTGCTTTTTTTTTTTCTTTTTGTCAGACTGAACATTTAAATGCACGCTCTGCTCTCTGGATTCCCCCTATTTCTCCCCCTTTCTCATTAAAATTCTAATTATTACCAGAGCAAGAAAGATGTATGATCAAAGGAAAGCAAAACCCTAGAAATACCTTTTGTTTTAAGGTGACTCATATTGCAGAAAATGCACCCGGAACCACTGTAACAAAGAACAGATGTGGAGGGCTCAGAGATGGCCAGATACCTTTAAATATATATATACATACATATATATATACATATATATATGTGGTATATACTTAGCTATATCTGTGGTAGCATTCCTGTGAACCCCAAGGGTATCAGGGCTTAAGGAAACAGTCTCCAAACTATTTAGATCATGAAATCGTAACAGCAAAATTTTTTTAATTTAATACTTCCAATATGTGTTTATTTGCTCCCATGTTCTATACACATGTACAAAAGGGGTATTGTAAAGGTGACTCTCCAAACACTTAGCAGTTGTGTGACCTTGGGCAATCTATTTAACCTTCTGTGCCTTAGTTTCCTCATCTGCGAAGTGAGGATAATAATCTTCACCTGTTTCACTGGAGAGTCTTAAATGAGTGAATACATAAGAAGCACTTTATGCCTTGGACATTGTAATGTTCATAACTTGACTAAATTCAATAACAAAATTCATTACTATCAGTTTATATATTACAATTCTGATTTTTTTATTTTTCAGATAATGAATAAATATTCAAGAAATCTGATATTTTTTTCTCTAACGCTCCCAGGACGCATGCACACCGTAATTGGAGACCTGTAGTCTAGAAGTTAACTTAGAATCAGTTTGTCTGGTCCCTAGCAGTCTCTAGTGGACTAACCTCAGTTCCTATGCTGAGGAAAGGCTCCCAGGTCTCTGTGCAGGGGCTTGGGGGCTGGAGAAGGTGGCAGAAGGCATGAGGGTCCTATGTTCCTATTCCTTAGTCCTGAAGGTGGTAGCTGATCAAGGCAATACCCTACAGCCAGGGAGCCGGGAGGCAGTGCTAGCTCCCCAGAGAGGATGACTGATGTTTTGGCCTCTTCCTCAGGTCCCTCCGGAAGGAGGAGAGCTCTCGCTGCGGCCTGTGCTGTGAGAGTTCTCTTGATCCCCGAAGAGGGACCAAGCATCTCCCAGCCTAGTTTAGTACCAGGAACATGGCAAGTGCTCAGTAAATATTGGTTGAGCGATAATGACAGCTGTTTTATTTGACACTGATCGACTCATTCATTCATTCTCATGTATCCATTTCTATGCTGAGCCCTGAGTCAGACAAATAAAAAATAACACAGGGTTATAGTAACCTACAGTTTAATCCAGGACAAACAGTCTGGGACAGTGGAATGAGCCCCAGGCTGGGCAGGCAGTGGACATCTGGACCCTAGACTAGGCTCTGTTCTCTGACCACAGGCAAGTCCCTCGTCTGGAACACTGCTCCCACCTGCAGAAGCAGAGCCTGACCTCAGTACTTGTAGGGTCATTCCTCACTTTAAATCCCAAGATTCTTAAGGCTTGGACAGGATAATTCAGAGGCTGCAAGTTATAGGCCTGCAGTGGCAGGCAAGTAACAGGGACAGGAGCGGGTGAGCACACAGCCTTCCGAAGGGCATCGCCAGTTCTCAGTATGTGGGAGCACAGGTCCAGTTACCAAGTCCTCAGGCCATTTGCAGAGAAGCCAGGAATCTGGTGTGATGATGACAATGGTGACGATGGAACTGCTTGATTTTTCAGTCATATGCAAGCCAAACAAGCCTCCTCTGCTGGCTTGTCTACAAGTGACCTTTGTGCAAACCCGTTGGTTCAAGGCTTCCTGATGTCACAGAGTAAGACGAGGCCTTGAGCTCAAAGGTTCATTCCTAAAGGTGGGATGGGGGTAGGCGGGCGTGCTTAGTAACTTCTCCCAGAGAGAGGCATCCTTCACAACTCTTCTGGGGTAATGGACATCCTGCTTGGGGCAGAGGGTGGGACAGTGAGTGCCCGCCTCTGAACCAATCATGACAGTCAAAAATACCAGTGTCACAGCAGAGCTCTCACACAGCCGCAGGAATGGGCACAAAGGACAGCTACAGGAATTGTTTGTGTTTACCCCTGAATTAAACTGTGGACCAGATTCCAACTTGGTGTGGTGTGTGCGGGCTCAGTCATGCCCAGCTCTGTGCAACCCTGTGGACTGCTGCTCTTCAGGCTCCTCTGTCCATGGGACTTAGCACCAATACTGGAAAGGGTTGTCATTTCCTTCTCCAGGGAGATTCCAACTTCATACAAGTATTTGTTGAGCCTACTAAGTGCACACTTCTGGGAATACAGGAGAAGCATTAGACCTAATCCCCACCCTCAAGGAGATTATGCCTGATCTCGTTCACTTCAAGTCAACCTACTCACTAATTATTAGCTCCTGTGGTGGGCGTGGTGGGCTTGGGGTGAGCGAAGAGATTGAAGTATCTCAGCCTGGGGCCCCTGGCTGCCTCACCACCTGTGGAGGGAGAGAGCTGTCTGCAAAAAACTACTCTGCTATAAGTCTGGCCATAGTAACAGTTCTAATAGAAATTCAAACAGCATCCAAATGTGAACGCTTCACGAATTTGCACATTTGCTTAGGCTGCTATTTAAATTACTTTCCCTTCCCTGGGCACATGCCAGTAGGGAGTCGGGGAGGCAGCCCAGGTGCTCCCCAAGCTGGTGGTGGGGGGAGGGGCGGAGCTGGAGAAATCAGCCTGAGGTGAACAGAAGGCTGTAGATACTTCCCAAGTTGGATGTGGAGCACTGACCCTACACCATCCCTCCTCTGCCTGGGCAGCCTTCTCATGACCACTCTTTTCTCTTCTTCCGTCTCTGTCCCTTGTGTGTGGCCCCTCTTTGAACACCCTTCCCGGCTTCTCCCCACCTCTGTCTGTCTCTGTCCCTCCCTGCCTGGCTGAGGGCAGGCACCTCTGTCAGCCTCCTCGCAGTGGTAGTTATTGTGTGTGGCGTGGCCCTGGTGGCAGTTTTTCTCTTTCTCTTTTGGAAGCTGTGCTGGATGCCCTGGAGGAACAAGGAGGCCTCCAGCCCCTCCTCTGCTAACCCCTCCCCGGAGGCCCTCCAGAGCCCCAGCTCCAGAGGCAACATGGCGGACAAGCTCAAGGACCCCCACACCCTGGGCTTCCTAGAGGCGGCTGTGAAGATCAGCCACACGTCCCCAGATATCCCGGCCGAGGTGCAGATGTCCGTCAAAGAGCACATCAAGCGTCACACACGGCTGCAGCGACAGACCACAGAGCCAGCGTCATCCACCAGGTGAGGGGTGGACCCCTCCCTTCCTTACCTCCACATTCCTCAATCCCATACATGAATGAGATTCCAGCCTGTGAGGACCAGAGACCGGAAATAATCATATGCGTATTCTGGTTGGAGAATATGTCAGATGATGTCTTCCATGGTGGGTGATCGGCTTGGAGGTGGCCACCAGGAGTGACTTCAGGAGAGGGGAACCTTTGAGGTGGGGTGCTGTGCAGGTGGTCCACCCTGAGATGTGTGTGGGTGGGAGGTGTTGGCTTGTCCAGAGGGAAAAGAATATGCAAAGGTGCAGCGGCATAAAAGTTAATGATGTGTCTATGTCTGTACCGCCTCTGAGATGGAGTCTGCAGTGTGTGAGAGAGAAGCAAGAGATTCCTAACATTTTGAGGAGAATAGCCTTTGACAGAGTTCCCTGCCTTACGATAATTGTACACATGACATTCTTTATCTGAACAAACAAAATGACAAAAAAACAACCACCATGTAATGACAAATATGCTAAATTCAGAAACTTTTAAAAGATGTGGAACATGCACGCATTGTATTTATTAAAAATTGGGGGGCTCCTATGGATTCCCAGGTCCAGGATCCCAGCAGACCGGCCAAAGGGAAGCAGGCCCGGTCTTCAGATTGAAAACCAGAAATGGTGCAAGTGCTGGGTCACATTTACAGAGTTTGTTTTTTGACATCAGGCAAATTGCTCATTTTCCTAAGCCTCAGTTTTCCCAACTGTAAAATAGGGCCAATGATGCTGATAAGGTTGCTGTGAGGAGCCAATATAAGAATCCATGAGGTAATAAGAGCTTATTATATACCTGGCTCTGTTCTAAGCATTTTGTGTGTATTCATTTCATCCCCACAGCAATCCTAGGCAATTGCTACTTTTACTTTTCTTTATCTTAGAGCACAGAGAAATTAAATAATGCATCCCAGGTCATGTAGCTAGAAAGTGGCAGAGGGAAAGGGGGTGATGATCATGGTGGTGATGAAGGAATGCTGTAAGGAGGGTGGGAAAGGATGGTCCTTCTAAATAGGGGAGCTTATTTAATAGGCGAACCAGAGTCACCTCTACCAGGAAAGAAACCTAGAAAGCCAGAAGCAGAAAAGCAGGGGAAAAGATAATGATCACAATGGCTAACATTTACTAAAGTTTGTTATGTACCCGGCCCCATTCCAACTACTTTACATGGATTAAGACATGCGCACAAAGTGCGGCAGAGGGGTCAATTAGCAGGAAGTAAAGGGGGGGCCCTGAGCCATGTCGGCCTGCACCCCTCTCTCCCCTCCCCCGACCTCACTCTCTCCCCCCTCCTCCAGGCACACGTCCTTCAAGCGCCACCTGCCACGGCAGATGCACGTGTCCAGCGTGGACTACGGCAACGAGCTGCCCCCAGCGGCGGAGCAGCCCACCAGCATTGGCCGCATCAAGCCCGAACTCTATAAGCAGAAGTCGGTGGATGGGGACGATGCCAAATCCGAGGCCAAGAGCTGCGGGAAAATCAACTTCAGCCTGCGCTACGACTACGAGAACGAGACCCTGATTGTGCGCATCCTGAAGGCCTTCGACCTCCCAGCCAAGGACTTTTGCGGCAGCTCCGACCCTTACGTCAAGATCTACCTCCTGCCCGACCGCAAGTGCAAGCTGCAGACCCGGGTGCACCGCAAAACCCTGAACCCCACCTTCGACGAGAATTTCCACTTCCCAGTGCCCTACGAGGAGCTGGCCGACCGCAAGCTACATCTCAGCGTCTTCGACTTTGACCGCTTCTCCCGCCACGACATGATCGGGGAGGTGATCCTGGACAACCTCTTTGAGGCCTCTGACCTCTCCCGGGAAACCTCCATCTGGAAGGACATCCAGTACGCCACAAGTGTGAGTACGGCCGGCCACGGGGGCCTCTTGAGGGTTTATAGTTCTGGATTTGAGTGAATGTGTCCCTGAACCCCTGAACCCCTAGAGACAAATGGGCCTCTGCCCTTCAGGATATGAAAGGGGACCCCAACTCATAGTCCAGCCCACCCCGGGGGGAAATCCTTGCACTGGGCCCCAGGTTGGGGGGGTGAGTGAGGAGGGAGGTTGAGAGCAGAGCTCTTAAGTGGTTGGGAAGGGAAAGAAAGGTAATTTGTATCTATTGCTTCTGATGCATCTTCTGCAGTGGTGTCCTCTACCTGCTAGGCCTCAGGACTACCACCTATAATGTATGTCTTTAATCATGGATGAGGATGGGGTCAGGCCTGTAGACTGACTCAGACAGCAGCATGTACCAAGGGCTTTGATGTGTACTAGAAGCCTGGCACAGGCGATCAAGGACAGGCTATATTAATCAGGATAAACCAGGTTATGCCGCAGCAACGAATAATCCTAGAATTTGGTAGCTTAAAGCAGCCAAGATGTAGTTCTCGTTCATGTTACGTGTGCTTTGCAGCTTGACCAGGGTTCCATTCTACCTTGCCACCAAGTTTACAGAGGCTCCGTTTTGACCCCGTGCTCCTAGTTACCACTTCAGGAAGGAGGGGATGTGGCAAATCATGCACTATTTCTTAAAGCTTCCACGCTGAAATGACACACGTCGCTTCCACTCACGTTTCATTAGTCAAAGCAAGATACATGTGACTCCTAATATTAAGGGGACGGGGCAAAGCAATCCTACCACATGTCCGGAAGGGGGACTGGAAGTACTTAACGACCAGAACTAGAAACTACCGTGGCCCCTGCTCTCAGGCCCTGCCTGCCTGGGCCATCTAGAAGGTGGTAGGGGAGGAGGCCAGCTTGAGCTGGCTAATTCACACACTACAGAGGCAGATGCTGGGCTCTTCATGATCAATTAGAATTAACCAGGAAGGTTTCAAGGCGCACAAGGAAAGGATTATTAAAGAAGCAATGGGAGTTGGATGCGGTTAACCCGGGAAGACTTCTTGGAAGAGAAAGTCAGGCACTATTTTGAAAATGAGTAGGGCTTGAGTTGGCTTTTTAAGAGGGGGATAGGTTTGGCACAGAGAATTAAGAGGGCATCTCCAAAACCCTTGGGTCCAGTGTAGACAGTGTTCTCCAGGGCCCTGGGTGGCTGTTGAAGAAGCTGTGTAATTGCATCCCACAGATGTAGGTGTGGGATGTGCCTCTCTCTCAGTCCAGCCAGGCAGCTGAGAGCCCTGAAGGGCTGTTGCCATCAAATGCCAATGGCCTTGTGTCTGGTGTCTTGAACGCCAGGTGGTTGAGTGTCCCCTGGGATATTTCTTTCACTATTTCTCTGGGTGCAGACTCTCCCACTCTCTGGGTGGACAATCAATGCTCAATATCTATGTACTGAATTTGTAGGAGAGAGGCTGGGAAAATCAACCCCACTCTGGTGGGAAAAGGAATTGAGAGAAAGCTTGGTAAGGCTCTGTTTCTGCTCCGGGAAGTCTCTGGGATAGCCCATTCTCCTAGCTGGTGCTCACTTTGGTCCAGTTTGCTATCCCAGCGCCTCCCCTACTTTTGGTTTCCTGAAATGTCACCCCCAAGAACACAGAACAGCACAGGCAGGAGGGCTTGCAGACGGGGCCGGCTGGAACAGCAGCTGCGCGCCGGCCCCAAGCTCAGGAGCCCTGCTCTATAAATCACTGGGAAGTGTACCTCCGGTGCAGCTCTTCCCTTGCCGTCTCGAGTGGCAGCAGCTTCATCATGGTGACTGTACAGGTAGCGAAGAGCGGCTTAGACCTCCCCATACTGAGGCTGAGGCCCAGGGGCTCAGGGAGAGAGAGGGGTGGGGGCCAGGGGCTGTGAGGAGCAGGGCTCAACTCAGCCCTCTGAGGAGCCTCCCTTCTCCTCCCCGGAGACCTCCCGTTCCTGTGACTTCAGCTCCAGGCACGATGGACACCCTCATCCTGGAGCAGGCAGTCTGCGCTCAGGGATGCCCCTCACCTGAATGGTAACTTCCTAGAATTCCGTGGCTGTCCCTACCCTCGTCCCACACCTCTTCCCCAGCCCAGCTTGAGAAAAAGGACAGACCCTCACTATCCTCATCACCCTCAGTCAGTACCATTATACTCCTCCTCCATCTTCTCTTAAGCAGGACCCCGTGCAAAGCACTGGGGAGCAACGGGGGTCTGGGATAGAAGACAGCCTCTTTGACCCAATGCAGAGCTTGAATTATAGAGACATGAAATGTTCATGCAGTAGCTAGTGATGCAAAGTAGCAAATAATGTGAGAGGTTGTAGGATCTGAGAGTTAGGACAGTCAGAGACGGTTTCTTGGGTGAAAGAGAATTTAGCTGTGTGGGGAAGGATTGGTACACATAACTCGATATGCAAAGAGGAGGGGAAGCATTCTAGCCAAGGGCAGGAGGAGTCCGGGACCAGGAGTTTCCAAAGCTGAAGGTGGGGTGACTTGCTCATACACCCATCTTGCTCACAGTCTGTGGGATGAATGTTCTGTCTGGCGAGGCCACCAGGGCCCTCCTTTCTGCAGCTTCTCAGCAGGCTGGCTCTCAGGGGCAGTCTCTTTATTCTGGGGGGTGGGGGGGGGGGTGAGCATTCAGGCAAAAGAAGGGAAAAGGAAATAAAGGGCTGGTGCTTTTGCCTGAGCTGACTCTAAAATTGTAATTACATTGAGGCCAGAGAGGCCCAAGTCGCAGTGACGGGGAATGATTGAGCACTCAGTGTCAGTAAAATCCTGCAGCCAGTGCCAGGGGGGCCGGTGCAGATGAGCCCAGTCGGCTCCCATCTCTCCTGCGTGCCAGATTCCTGCTGGATTCCATTCCTAGAGTTGCATTTTGGCCTCAGCTCCTCTAACCTGCAAGCTGGTCCCTGAATACACCTGGCATTTCTGCCTCTTGCCTTTGCCCCCAAGATTCCCTCTGGCAGGCAGGCCTTTCCCCCACCTCTCTGACCCAAACCAACCCGCCTTTGAAAGCTTCCCCCGAAGTCCTTCCACTGTCAGAGCAGTCACACTTGGATTTATTCTCTGGCTCCCTCAGTTATACACCAAATCATATTCTGTCTTGCAAAGTCCTCTTAGTGGTTTAGGAATGGTTTGTGTCCCACATTTGACTTTTTTATTTTCTCTCAGGGCTGAGCGTGTCATTTTATGCAAACGTAAGAACTCAGCACCTTCTTGCTGAATGACCAATGGCTTAGTTAATCCAAATAAAACTACATATTGGTGCACAGGGAAAGGATTATTAAAGAAGCAGTGAAGTTAACCTGGGAAGCCTTCCTGGAGGAGAAAGTCAAGTAGTATTTTGAAAATGAGCAGAGCTAGGCATGGCTCTGCATTCCTTCAGAGTGATGGTTCGGGTAGATGGCTTATGTCTGGAGTAGCAAAGAAATGAACCAGTCGGATCAGGTGACCTGGACTGAAGTGGAGGGTCAGTGACTCACAGTCTGGTAGAAGGAGATGCCCTGTGAGAAGTGGGCTGGGGAGGCTGCTCTGAGGTCACACCAGTCTATGAACACTGTCCGCTTGTTGCTCCTTGCACGCGTGGGGAGGATCAGGTGCAGCCCTAGCAGGTAGAACCAGGCAGGTTCCTTACTTTAGTCCCTGCCCCAGTACTTAAGGTGGTTTAGAGTAGCAAAGCCTGGAGCATTTGTGTTGTTTCCTTACAAGCACTGAACATGGAGCTTCAAAGCTAGTGAAGGGAAGGTATGCATCCAATTAGGTGAGCTTTCTTCATCACAAACCCTTAAGGCCCAAGGGACGCTGGCCTCAGCATCCCCAGGTTGTTCTGGGCGAAGCTTAGGCTGTAACAGTTATCCCTCCCCCTCAACTGGAGGCTGAGAAGCAGGCACAGCAGACGTGCTGGGGCCATCGGAGCCCTCTTCTGTTCCCTGGAATAAAGACGCTCAGGCTGCCACTGAGGCTTCCCCCTGTCGCTGGCTTGACTAAGGTCCCCTGGAGGTCTCCTGGGAGTTCCCTGTGGTTTGCCATTTTTCTCTCCACCCAGAACTTCCATTGGCTGAGATCATTCTGCTCTTCCCTTCCCCCCCTCCAGCCCCCAGTCTCATTATTTCTATATAAAGCTGTGGATTTGTCATTATAATAGAGCCACTGTCACCAAGGTTTGCTAACGTCTCTGTAATCTTGTAGCTATTGCTACAGAGGCCTCAGACCCCAGCGCACACAACTGTTCCTGTCCCCATTCCTGCTCCTTCATGGAGTCTGTAATTGGGGCCATAAATATGTGCCATGCTTGGTGGTGTTAATGGACTTGTCCGTCTTTCTGCCTTACTGGGTTCCCCATAGGTCAGAGTGAGCGTGTGTGGTCATGTGCGTGTGCATGTGTGTGTATGTGTGAGTGCATGTATGTGTGTGTTTTGGTGGCAATGCAGTACTCCATAGGTTATCAGGGAGCCTGGACTCAGTCTGCAGGGGGGAAGGGAGGCCTTGTGTGGTGGAACAATCTATTCTCTAGCTTGGGAATGAGCAGAGCTGGGTACAAAGAGCTCAGGCTTTGGTACTAGACAAACTTGTGTTGTATTCTAGCTTTTGCACTTTCTGGCTTTGAGACCCTAGGGACATTGTCTAAACCGTGCCTCAGTTTCTCCATCAGGAAAGTGGGGGTAATAATGGTACCTAGCTTGTATTATATGTAGTCAATTAAATAAAGTGGTATTATATGTAGTCAATTAAATAAAATGCACAGATGCCAAGGGCAGCCCTGTCACAGGGCAGCCTGCTGAGCTCCACTCTTCCAGTGCCTTTCTTCTAACGCAGCCTCCAGGGCACTATTTATACCACCCCCAGGTCTGAGCCCCAGCTTTGGTCCGGACCATCTATTCCAACAGGTGATTGGCTATTATTAATTCCTATTTTATTTACTTCTCTCTTTTATGTATTGTCCTACCATGAGTTCTCTGTGTGACCTTGGGAAACTGACTTGACCTCTCTGGGCTGC